ACATCACTTTAATTGACATTTTATTGACAATAGAGTCGTCTCTTTCGGTTTCCCCGAAGAAAGTGCTGTAAAATGTGTTTAAAATTGTGGGGAAAATTGGTATTCAGGTTAAGGTTAGGTAAGACCAGCGAAATAGTTGGCTCTCGTTTGCAGTAATGGTATAAAATTGGCGCAAAATACAGACTTCTCTGATATTTACCATGTATTTGCTGATAGCTTTCAATTCATTGATAAGTATTTGTTGTAAATTTAGCTCAAAATTCTGTATGTTTGAGAAATGATGAAATTTGGTGACAATTTCTTTTTATGAATTTATTCTAACTTACAAATTGATCGACAAGTTTAAGGCTATTATTATTAAAATATGCATTGTTTTTAGCAAAGAATTCAATGTCAATGAGAAAGAAATACGAGAGAGAGAGAGAGAGAGAGAGAGAGAGATTTGTTATTTGAAACAATTTTTTATAGGAAAGGGAGAGATAGCGAGAGAGTGAGAGTTTGTCATACAATTGGATATCACCCAACGAGTTCTGAAAATAGTTGTTATAATGAATGAAGTTATGAATTGTGAGCACTTAAACACACAAATCATTGACAAACCAGTGCTCTCTCGCAACACAAAACACACATCAAACCCAAAAACCCATTAAAACCGAGTATTTCTTTCAATAATTTTCATTATCGGGTCTTTGAAACGAGACTATCATTACATCCATTCATTGAACGATTTATTTTTAGTAATGAAAAAAATCAGACATAAATTTACTACTTTTTTATTAACAAAATATTCAATTTCTGTAAATTTAGATATTTATCAATTAAATTATATCTTGTATATAAAGTTATGCGATTTAGTGGCCATTTATATACTGTTTATTACTATTACTTTGAAATTATATAATGGCTTAAATTACTGGAGAAAACACATCAATGAATATATTCATATTGATATATCAATATAATGTTTTATCACTTCATAAAAATTATAAACGTTTTATAAATATAATATTTTCATAACTCTTTCAATAGAAAAGCTCACGGAATGTGAAACCAAATGAAATATGATTTTGAATTTTTCTACTCAATTAAGATATAATATCATTAATATTTGAAACGAGTTTTCAATAATATTTGTAAACAATTTTGAAGTGTGTTTTTCATTAGCGAAGAGAGAGAGAGAGAGAGAGAGAGAGAGAGAGAGAGAATGACAAGAATTTATTTATAGCAAAATTACTTGCCGTAAAGACTCGCAAACATTAGGGATAAAGTCTAACGCAATGTTTGAGAAAAAGTGAGTGGAGAGAGAGAGAGAGAGAGAGCCAGAAAAATAGCACTGATTTTCTTAATAACTGTTGAATACACACAATATTTTCGTTGAATTATAATATCATTAATATTTGAAACGAGTTTTCAATAATATTTGTAAACAATTTTGAAGTGTGTTTTTCATTAGCGAAGAGAGAGAGAGAGAGAGAGAGAGAGAGAGAGAGAGAGAGAGAGTAGCAGAACACATAAATTCATGGCTTTTGGAAAGACATTAAAATAAAATGCCAACAAAATTAAAGATATAATTTTTTTGGTGATATTCATGTGATTTTATCCTTTTCTTCGGTAATATTTACGTAACAAACAAACAGTTGAGAGAAAAGTATTTTATTTATTGCATAAAATTATTTAATACAGAAAAAAGTGGATGTTTTTGAAAAATTATTTTGTCTCTCATTATATGCGCAAAAGTATTATCACATTTCAAATCAAAAACACATTTCTATCGCTGAATACTAATTATATTTTATGAATTCAATGAAATAGTTTTTCCAGACTTTTTCAATTTAAATATAAAATATTTCTTAAAGAAAACAAAAATTTTCAATTAATTGCATATTTTATATGTGGTTTGCAAATGCATTTCCACAGCCAAAACACCGAGAGTTTTGCATTTTTAAAATGTGTGCAAATAATTAACGACAAGATTTGAATTCACAATACATTTGCAGAATATAATAAAACTCAAAACTCAGAGATTCTGTTGCGATATATACTATACAAATGCATTTAAATACAGAATTAACAATAAGTCCGGTTTAATATATGCAAAAATATGCATTTGATGTGGAGTTTGAAAACAATGAAACTTTAATTTAGACATAAATCGCATAATATATTATTGTTAAGCCATAAGCCGTACAATTAAAACCAGATATAAAGAGATATACACCCGAATCAAGAGGTGAATGAAATGTTATGTGATTTCATGTGATTGTCAACTATTTGTTTAGACTGTCGGCAGATATTATGGGCTAATTTATGGCACCTTATCCTCGGATGATATACACAAATCTGTATATAATTAGTGTAATAATGATCTATAAATATATATCATAGTTGTGTATATATTTGTCGCATAAAAGCAATCGATTAAATGCTCACAATTTTCAGGGCTAAAGGTCTCGACGGTTAACATCGACTGACATATAATGGCATCTAATTATGAATTCAACAATAAATTTATGATTTATTTAATCATTTATTGAATTCCGGGAAAAATGAATATATTTTATGAAAATATTTTACGACTTGATGTTAAAGACAACAAGTTTTCTCGATTTTGAAGTTTTATTAATTTTTCTTTTGCTGTTTTTCTTTATTATTATTATAAATATTTTTCTTATATATAAATGTGCGATAAAAAACAGTGAATGATGTTTTCAAACGCATATAAACAGAATAGCCTTACATTTCAATGATATAAACCATATGTAAATGTCATTACTATTGAAATCTATGGAAAAAATAGGGAAACACACAGAAAATCTAAACCTTTTTAAGGTTTCCAGTGAAACATATTTGTAAATCAAGTTTTGCACTAAAAGTTTTGAAGTTTTAAAGTTTGCAAAAAAAACTTATTATTGAATACATATCAGAAAATATACAAATCTATCCTTGTGTTCAATAATACAGGACTTTTGGGTTCAAATAAAATGTTTATACATTTCTATTGAGACATTCGCTGGCGTTTTGAACCCAAAGAGCTTTAGTTCAAGTTCTGGGATATAAACGATATAAACGTCAAGAAAAATAATAATAAAAATGTTTTTAATCTATAATTTATTCATTGCTTTATTTTAGTGTTATTTTTGCGCTCAAAACTGTTTTATGTATTTAATCGTAAAATTAAGTGATGATAATTTGGTAAAAATGATAATTATTAATAATATCTTAATATTTCATTTTGTGGTTCAATATATTTGTGTAAAATAAACTATTTTTAATGAATTAGTTATAACTCATTTGACTGTAAATAACGGGTTAAACACACAAATTAATGGCACAAAAAATAGCTCAAAGGCTTAAACAGAAAATCAGTCTTTGATTTATATGTTATTTCAAAGTTTTTGTTGTTATAATTATCTCATTAGTTATAATACTTTGTAAAATAAGTATACTTTTTGAGTACTATTTATAAGTTTATAAAGTATTAATACTTCAAAAAATGTATACTTTTTCAATGTCTTAAACATGACTTACGTTTGGCTTTGTGTCTAATACTACTTCTTGTAATATTATCGGCGGCTCTGGTGTTGTTGTCATTACTTCCAGTGATTCGGGAAATAATATTTCCCATAATTGCTATTAAATTGATGTCTACTTTAAAACGATCGGTGATTATATCAAACAAACGGACGAATAAAACGGTTAAAAATACGATACAAATAACCTCTAAAAAGACCACTTCATCCTCGAAGAAGAGAATCATAAAACTCATACAAATTGATCACAAAAAACAAACACAAACTATAATATAAATACAACTAAAATAACAGAATATTCTGTTGATTATTATACTGTTATTATTATTATTATGATAACTATTTAACTGTTCATAAAACTCGGATTTTAAATAGTCTTAATAATACAAACTATGTGTTGAGAAAAATAGTGTCACTTCTGTTTGCACTGAACAGTGATTTACTTATTGAATGTTTGTCTCAAATGTTTTGTGCAAAAGTCTATCTCTCATAAAACAAATCTCAAAGAATTTGTTGTTTTTGAAAAATGCAAAACTCGAGTCAATGCAAAGAGTTTGTGTGATTTTGTCGGGGATTTAGTTTTTTAAGTCTTTAAAACACCAGAATATTCCTCGAAATAGATTATTCCTGTGAGCTAATGATGTCAAGTGCGAGAGATATACCAGTGCTCTGGGGGTTGGGAGGGATGGCGTATGTGTACGAGATATAAGGAGAAAGAGAGAGAGAGAGAGAGAGAGAGAGAGANGGGCTAAAGGTCTCGACGGTTAACATCGACTGACATATAATGGCATCTAATTATGAATTCAACAATAAATTTATGATTTATTTAATCATTTATTGAATTCCGGGAAAAATGAATATATTTTATGAAAATATTTTACGACTTGATGTTAAAGACAACAAGTTTTCTCGATTTTGAAGTTTTATTAATTTTTCTTTTGCTGTTTTTCTTTATTATTATTATAAATATTTTTCTTATATATAAATGTGCGATAAAAAACAGTGAATGATGTTTTCAAACGCATATAAACAGAATAGCCTTACATTTCAATGATATAAACCATATGTAAATGTCATTACTATTGAAATCTATGGAAAAAATAGGGAAACACACAGAAAATCTAAACCTTTTTAAGGTTTCCAGTGAAACATATTTGTAAATCAAGTTTTGCACTAAAAGTTTTGAAGTTTTAAAGTTTGCAAAAAAAACTTATTATTGAATACATATCAGAAAATATACAAATCTATCCTTGTGTTCAATAATACAGGACTTTTGGGTTCAAATAAAATGTTTGAGAAAAAGTGAGTGGAGAGAGAGAGAGAGAGAGGAGAGAGAGAAGTGAAGAAAATTTTTTGTTTTTAGACTACTTTTGAACAGCGATAGAGACTTTTTGGTTGACGTTTAAGTGTATATTCAAAAGCGAAATAAATATATACAAAACGGATGGGAGAGAGCAGTGTATAGGGAGTGTTGGGTTGTATACGGTTTGCCCAATCAGTGCATATGAGTGCACACATACTGTTTGGTATGGTTTTGACGATCCGGTGGTGTATTCAACGCGAAGAAAAAATTATTTCAGTGTATAATTGAGTTATATCTAGAAATTCAACGAAAATATTGTGTGTATTCAACAGTTATTAAGAAAATCAGTGCTATTTTTCTGGCTCTCAATCTCCTGTGTTATGCATTTTAATGTATCGTTTCTTTAATTAAATTACAAAACAAAACTTTTTTACACTCACAATAACGGTGTGTATCCGTAATAATGGGCTGTTTTTTCTCAATATTCCGTTTCGGCACTTATGTCGTCAAAGAATGTAAGTTTTGGTTATGTTTTTTGCGTTCATTACTTCCCATTCCCTTCCCTTTTCTTCCCTTTCCATTCCGTCTCTAATTATTGTTTTTTGTTTTCCCCGAAATCGTCGCCGACTTATAATATGAGACAAATTTGTTTGAATAAAGTGTCTCTCAAAGAGAGAAATTGTTTTATTTATTGTTTGAATTGAATTCGTTTCCCAAACATTTAGTTTTTGGTGTATTTTTGTGTATATATCTTTAATTTATATATCATATAAATTCTGGAAACAATTTATTTCTCTCTGCATTTACTTTATGTCAAGTTTTATACTGTTTTTCTCCAACAGAATAACACAATATTTATTGAATTCAATCCAACAAATAATAAATACCACGTCTTCTCTCATTATTTGCATTTAAATATGAGATGTTTTCTCGCATTTAATCCGATTATAAATATAATAAACATTTCATTTGAGACGCGGTTTCAAAAATCATAATTATTTGTCTATTGATTGTCATGTAATTATTGAATGAATATAATATGTGTTAACTTATTGTCGTTAATAATGTGTAAAACTAGACGACAACCTTATCTTCAGACATAAAAATTAGACAATATTTTATCAAATAAAAAATTTGTCATAGATTTTAATTCAAATATATTTATCGCATAAAATTAAAAATCAGTTTTGAGTCTTTGAAGAAAATACCACTTTTTTCTCTGTTTCTAAATATATAAACGACTCAAACATATAAACACTCAATATATTTGTTGAGATAATGTTAAGTATCATAAGGTTTTTGTGTCCCATATCTCCCATTGATAATCAATATTTAATATAAACATTTAAATTTTATTAATATTTTAATGCCAACAGTGTTTTAATGCTGTATTAAATTTCTACAGAATAACACAATATTTATTGAATTCAATCCAACAAATAATAAATACCACGTCTTCTCTCATTATTTGCATTTAAATATGAGATGTTTTCTCGCATTTAATCCGATTATAAATATAATAAACATTTCATTTGAGACGCGGTTTCAAAAATCATAATTATTTGTCTATTGATTGTCATGTAATTATTGAATGAATATAATATGTGTTAACTTATTGTCGTTAATCATACGTAAAATTAGACGACAACCATATCTTCAGACATAAAAATTAGACAATTTTTATCAAATAAAAAATTTGTCATAGATTTTAATTCAAATATACATGTATTGATTGCATTAAAAATCAGTTTTGAGTCTTTAAAGAAAACACCACTTTTTTCTGTTTCTAAATATATAAACGACTCAAACATATAAACACTCAATATATTTGTTATCTATTACAATTCATAGTATTCCAAAAACACAGGGTATAGAGGGTAACTATTAGTTATAAATTATATTTGTAAATTTAAAATAATTATAAAATTACGGTTGTCACAAAATTACGACATAATTTAAAGATGGTATTTGAGGTATTTTTAAATTGAATGTTTTTTAGGCCAAATATCTTTCAGTTAATACTGTATATAAAGTATATAAATATTTAATTCAGAAATTTAGGTCTATTAAATTTACGATTTGTTTTAAAGCGGCATTTAGAGTTCATAACAAATATTTTGGAAGTTTATTACACGTTTTGTAAATCTAAATAAAAATGTGGATTATTTGTGCTACAGTTAATATCCACTATAAGCTCTATGGTGTTTAGCACGTCATATATGGGTCTATAAATACATGCAATTCTTGCAATTTGTAGTAAAAATATTATACAATATATTTATGAATGAAATTCTCGCATATAATTGAATTTTTAAAAACACAAATCAATTACTAGTTTGACATTTCAGACTGAATATCGGTTAAAAATAACAAAATAGATTTACATAGAAATCAAAATAACCTAAATATAAATTCCTATGCATTAATCCCATTGATTATTATTAGCTGATAATAACGGCGGCCCACAAGTGAATGCACCGGAAATCAGGAAACACTCGTCGACACCGATCGGGTCGGAAGTGCCGTTAAAAGCGGTACAAAAACCGGTCAAACCATTGCACTCATCGCCGCCGTCGGCGCCGCCGAAGAAAGACAAACAAAATGTCCCAAAAGTGAAAGACAAAGAAAAAGTGAGCCATTATTTTGCACCAAAAATAAAAAACAACCGTGTTAATTTTATAGTATAAACACATTTAACTTATTGCCACCCAATATATTACACCTAATATACTACCCGACGCTCTCATTAACTAACACTTTGAAGTTAACTAACTTTTAACTGTAAGTTAAATAATGTATTTTTTTGTAAGTTTTTTGTTTTGAAGATTGAGTGGGACTTAATGTGTGGACTAAATTGTCGGCATAACTTCTCAACAACTTTGATGTTTTTATTATTAACTCTTATTTCTCTCTCTCTCTCTCTCTCTCTCTCTCTCTCTCTCTTGTCTTTACGGCAAGTAATTTTGCTATAAATAAATTCTTGTCATTCTCTCTCTCTCTCTCTCTCTTGTCTCGTGAATTGTGTGGCATTTTTTATAACAAATATTTTGATTTACAATTAAAAATGGGCTAAATTTTTAGTTAGCGTTTGCCTGTAATGAGCGCCAGATGTATGCATGGATTGGCATTCAGTGCTATATTTTATTTTTATTTTATTTTGCAATTTATTTATCGCTATTTTTTGTGGTTATAAATAGTGCCCGGAGTTAGGGAGGGGTGGGTTTGTGTGCTCTGCTCTTCGATCACTATTTTGTTTTATTTTTTAAAATCCAATTTTCAATTAAAAAATCTAAATAAAGCATAAATTTAGTTGTTTTTTCCAAAACTTATTTTATTTATTGTGAACTCAATGCAAGTTAACAAATATTTACAACCAATTATTGATTGTAATGAGAGTTGTCTTGTATTTAATTAACTATAATTACCATGGTAATAATGTTGTGCCATTCATACCATGTTTAGCCGGCAGTATTCACGACCACTTTTGAGACCCAAGTGGACGCCCCGCCACCCCATCCGCTGGAGGAGCGTTTCCAAGACATCCAATTGGATGAGATTGAGGTCGAGACCAATCTCTTCGCGCCCGAAGTGGAGGACGCGGTCATCAAAATACAGGCCGGAGTTAGGGGTTATTTGGTCCGCAAACAGTTGAAAAGTACCCACGAAGACGATGAAGGTATGCATTTTCTCATCAATGATATATCACTTATAAGTTCCCGGTTTTTAGCAATTTTATATTTCCTAATCATATATTTGTTGGCATTAATCATATAAAAAACGTGAGATTTGTTTAATGTTTTTTTGTATGCAATCACTGAATGTCATCTCAAACTCCTAATAGGATTAAAGTTTTTTTTTTAAAGAACTCATTATGTATTTCACAAATTGCTGAATATATTATAAATTATAATATGTTTTAATTTCTTAATAAAATCTCAAAATCATAAGTTATTCATAAGTAAGGCTTTAAGTTAAATGGGTTTACATTCAGTGGTTATTGGGTTAAGAAGTTATTAGGAAAGCATTTTTGAATCCCTTTTAATGTCTTTGAAACTAACTTAACATTAATCCAAACGCTTATGTGATTGACAGACACACCAGTGGTTCCGCCGCCCAAACACTTTGAAGACAATCAGACATTGAGTCCATTAAAGGATTTGGAAAAATGGAAGAAACTGTCCGATCATTTGGAGGAGAAGGTGGCCATCGATGGCGAAGACACTGTCAATAAGCCAGAGGTGATCGCAGCCGAAGACCAGTCATCACACGTCCAGAAAATTGCTGACAAATTAGTGGAAAATGTGATTCCATTGAAGGACAGCAACGATCACAAAGTCATCGAGACTTATGTCTGCAAAGACAATATCTTAGACGTGGAACCGGTCATCGATGGCAATGTGTCTTCGGATAGGGATGTGCTGTTGAGTAGTGGATCTCTTTCACCAATTAGGACGGCTGCAGAGGACGCAAAAGTGGTCGACAGAGTGTTTAGCGTTTTAATGGCTGAAACAGAGTTTCCCGAAGACGTCGAGACCGTTGCCGCAGAGATCGCTCCGCAAGAAGTGGTCACCGAATCCAAGCCTAAGACAACCGAAGAGATTAATAACGAGAAGAATTTGTTGAACGAACCAATCGTTTCTGAGTCTCAAGAGTCGGAAGTATTGGCCGAATTGAATCAAATACTCGACAACAACGAGAAGAATATGAAGAATAATGAATTAAATGCTGAGGAAGAAGAGGCTGTGTTGAGATCGGCTGAACTGATCCAACAAAATGAGGCCAAAGAAAACAAAGCGAAAGTAATTGAAATGGTGTCCGAAAACACGACACAAGAGATCATTAGAAACTCATTTAAAGAGTTTGTTAAAGAGATGACACAATCGGCGCCGACGACAGACACTATCGCTACCGAAGAAGAAGTAGTTTTGAGTCCAAAAGTGACCGAAAGTGCGATTATCTCAGCAGTGATTGAGCCTCCGGTCGAAGAGACGAGAAAAACGGACTCAAAGCTCTTCGAGGATGAAGTGGTCCGCAGTATCTTCGGTGACGAAGAGGTGATCAAAACCCAGAATCAGACGCAAGTGTTTGCCATCGAGTTATTCAAACAGGACGTCAACGAACAGCAGTTGGAAAAAGTGGTCACAATATCGGCGCCCGAAGAGTCAAAGGCCAACATTGAGGACAGAGTCTACAAGACATCGGTCGAAGAGTTTGTGATCAAAGCGCCAGTCGTTGAGCCAAACCCTCCGCTATCAACGCCGATACCCACCGAAGTGGTGGACACATCGCCGGCGGAATCGTCGCAAACAATACCACTCTTAGAAACGGAGCGAATAATCGAAATAATCACATCCGAGAGTCGGAAGAACTCTGTGGACGACATTCTTGACGACAGCGATGGTCAGCTGCTGTCGACTGAGGATCAGTTGCGTCCGGTGGCGGAAACAACGGAAGTGATTCCCCTCTCGTCGCCGATAATACAGATTGAAGAACAAAACGGACGGATTCTGGACGAAGAGGAGGCGGCCATCAGAATACAGGCCGCCTTCAGGGGCTTTCAGATCAGGAGATCCCTGTCGAGGGAGGCGTCGCCCAACAGATCCACGAATCATAACAATAATATCGACAATAATAACAATTCGCATAACAATAGAGATTTAGGACATAATAATAATAGCAATCATAATAACAGTGATATTACCGAAGATTTAACCACAAATCAATTGAGCGATAATTTACTGATCGCTGAGAACACGAGTGAACCGCAGAGGACGACAACGACCGCCGGATTAATGACGGCTTCCAACGAACAGATCAATACATCGCTGGAACAGCTCGAGGATCAACTCATGCAACAGTTGATCTCAACGGCTGAGGAGGAAGACAGACACCGACCGCCGGTTAATGTCGAGACGCCGGAGGACCAGTTGTTCGCGACGGAAGAACTGTCGGCACCGCTACTCCTGCAACGGATCCAACAGTCGGTCGACACTCCCGTCCGACTCAGCGAAGAGTCCGTTGAATTGCCGCCAGAATTGGCGTCATTTGTGACGCAAACCATCGCCAAAGAGATCAGTTTAGCCGAAGACAAACCGTTGATTGAAAAGTCGGACACAATAATTGTGGATCTGTTGTCTTCGTCGCCGCAACAGAAGAGCATAGCTATTGAAACTCAGGCCATAAACGACATAAATAACAGCGAATCAGAAACTCAAGAGATATTACCGCCGCTGGAGATAATCCCAAACGCCATTGATATCCGCGAACCCGAAGTGCAGACCACTGTCTGTCCGCCGACGCCCTCTCAGATCACACCCGAAGTGTCTTTCGCCCGAACGGCCGAACAGCCGGTCCTCACGAAGATATACTCATCGGAATCGGAACAGGAAAGCGATGCCATCGTCGCCACCAAAGCCACCGACAATAGCCTCCCATCACTCATACCTGTCATTGAGGCCAACGGTAACGGAAGCGCTAAGACATCAAAGGCCGGCGCCGGAGACGCACCTAAACGGCCGAACAGGTCTATCCTTAAGGAGACCGAACCTCAACTCTTCACCGATGAAGTGAGTCATTCAAATTGATCATGGTTATTTTTGTTGGCTACCATTTTAATTATTTTAATGCCTATTTTGTGGTGTCTTTAGCAACACATGGCGTCGGAAGAGATATCGAGTCCCGACGACGACAACCCGGAGTTCGTGGGCTTAGGGCCCAACAATCCGTTCCCGATTCGGGCCTCGAGTCCCAACCCGTTCGGCAAAAAGCGCCGGAGAGGCAAAAAAGGCGGTCAACGCAAGTGAACCCTCTCTTCAATTAGAGTTATTTTTCATCACTAATAATAACAATCAGTAATTGAATTATATTTACAACAAATTCACACATATTTTATCACAAAGTATTTTAAAAATGCAAAGTTTTAACGATAATTATAATGTTATTATTCAAAGTGTAATAATTATGTTTCATTTGAGACGCAAATTCTTTATGATAAATATTTATATTAATAGTGAATTAAGTCATATAAATTATAGTTAATTATAAGGTTATAATAAATTCATTATTAAATAATTAAATATAAAGCGATTCTATTGTATCATCTTTTTTGTCGAAAATAAAAGTTTAAATAATTTTTTTCAATTGTTTTCATCGGAAGAAATGGTTTATAATTTATTTTAAAACTTTTATTTATTGTAAATACAATTTATATGGGAATTTGTGTTAACAGCATTTAATTATATTTGTTTTAAAGTGTTATTAAAGCTATAAAATAAATTAATATTTAAATTTTTAACAAATTATAGCAATAGTTGTCCAAAAGTGAAACACTTTTGAGTCAAACCTAAAGTTCAATAAATAATATATAAATACAGTATAACTAATAAAAACTAATTAAATAATAGAAATGTAATTAAATTTAGTAAAAATAGTTTTGCAATGAATTGACTGAAAAATACTATAAAAAGTATAACAAAATGAAAATAAAAATAAATTCAAATGTGTGTTAAATGAAAGCTAAACACAGAGACAATTGATTATCTCATCGCTGGGGAAGAAGTGGAGCCCAGATCTGTGCCAACACTCGCATCGGTGGCCAAGCGGTTGACATTACGGCGCAAACCGTACGGACAGTTGGCCTGAGATTGTGAGCGCAATATCTGTCGCCCAGTTGTGGCCAAACTCTTGAGCACAGGTCTGACCCGTGTCTTACGCCCATTATTGTCGCAATCGTTTCGACGGCCCGTATCTATCATCTGATCCGTAGATGAGTGGCCAGAAGTGGACCGCAATCGGCGGGCAATTGGCGACCCATTTATGTCCAAAGTGTTGAGTGCCGGGCTGACCCGTGTTTGGTGTCTCTCACTGTCGACATCATTGTGTCGATCGGTGTCTGTCTTCGGCGTCACATCACTCGCGCTGTCGTTGGCGTCAGCCATGTCTTCGCCAACTGTCCTCTCACTGCCAATCGCCGTCAGATGTCGTCTCAACTCACGGACGAAACAGTCGATTGATGTGATGTCTGCCTCGGAATCGATCATATTTTGTTGTATCGATTGATTACTTTGTCTCAAGTCTTGAATGATTGGCGCAAACTCTGGATCAGTTCCCACGCGTTCTTCAAGCGCGTCGATCCTTAGTTTCAACTCATTTGACTCTTGAGTCCGCGAGCGATGGCTTTCTTTCAATTCATCGCTCTCTGCGCGGGCCCTCTCGTACTCTTTCAGCAATCGTTTCCTAATGTCTTCGGGCAGTGAATCCATGTGTCGGATGTCTTCCTCCGCAGTGTTTATGTCCACAAAACAAGAGTCGAATGAATGGATTGATTGCCACACGAATTGTCCAATGAATGACTGAATTGCACACAAATACTGTTACAAACTTATTGCAGTCCAACCCCTCTCTGTATTCTGTGATGACGTGAATGTAATAGCGATACACATATAACGTACACATTTAGGTACAGTCGGTGTTATAAAGTTCGCGACCAAAACATTTTAAGCGCAACTTTTTAAATATAATTACAAATTAATTATTAAATTATATTTTAAATAATAAATTAACTTTTTTTAATTGTTTTCATCGGAAAAAATGGTTTATAATTTATTTTAAAACTTTTATTATAAAAATAACGTTAATATGTATCGAAATGTGTGTTAACAGCATTTTGTTATATTTAATTTGTTTTAAAGTTTAATTTAAATTATAAAATAAATTAATATTTAAATTTTAAACAAATTATAGCAATAGTTGTCCCATAAGTGAAACACTCTTGAGTTAAACCTAAAGTTCAATAAATAAAATGTAAATACAGTATAACTAATAAAAACTAATTAAATAATAGAAATGTAGTTAAATTTAGTAAAAATAGTTTTGCAATGAATTGACTGAAAAAATACTATAAAAAGTATAACAAAATGAGAATAAATTCAAATAAAATTGTAATAAAAAACATATAAATAAGTAATAAATGTGTGTTAAATGAGATGAAAACTAAACACAGAGATAATTGATTATCTCATCGCTGGGGAGGAATGCGAGCCCAAATCTGTGCCAACACTCGCATCGGTAACCACGCGATAGACATTACGGCGCAAACCGTACGGACAGTTGGCCTGAGATTGTGAGCGCAATATCTGTCGTCGACTAGTTGTGGCCAAACTCTTAAGCGTGGGTATGACCCGTGTTTTGCGCCAATCATTGTCGCATTCGTTTCGACGGTCCTTATCTGTCACCGGATCCGCAGATGAGTGGCCAGAAGTGGACCGCAATCGGCGGGCAATTGGCGACCCATTTATGTCCAAAGTGTTGAGCGGCGGTCTGACCCGTGTTTGGTGTCTCTCACTGTCGACATCATTGTGTCCATCGGTGTCTGTCTTCGGCGTCCCTTCACTCGCGCCGTCGTTGGCGTCATCGATGTCTTCGCCGTCCGTTTCACTGCCTTTCGCTGTCATGTATTGTCTAAACTCGTGGATCAAACAGTCGAGTGAT